TTTTACATCTTTAAAGAGGCTTTGGATGTTGAGTTCTGGATCCGTTTTCTCTTAAATTCACTGACAGGAAGGGACATTCAAAGAAGCAGTTTTTTGTTTTGTTTTTGGAGGAAAACTTTTGGCTCAGACGGGGGCGGAGTGTCAGTGAAGAGGGTAACACCCCCAATGGACTGCTACTATTTTTGGGGCGGTTGCCAAGAGCTGTGCCCGCTCCATGTGGAAATAAAACTGGTGGCACTGCAAAATAATTCTTCAGATTGGGAGTAAATGAGCAACCGCTCCCCCCCAGACTGATATAAGTCCTACCTCGATCCGACCTGTTGAGAAACAGTGGGCATCCCGCTGAAGTCGGTAGTCAGTGAACTTAATCAAGGTTTTAGCACATTTGTAAAATGGCGTCCGAGCAACGGAAAGTTACGCAATGGTACAGTTTATTGAAAATAGGTTAGCGATTCATAGTCGAGTATGTCGACTTTTTATTGTATTACCGTGAAGCTTTGGGCCGATCTTCTTACTGTAAGACGGAGCCAGACTAGCTGTGTCTTTGTTCTCTCGCCATTATGCTTGGCTAGCTTCCTATTTATCCGTCAGCAATGACAGTGGGAATGGATCTTCTCACCGAACATGAATAACAGTATTATATCAATTTCTAACTGTAACCAAACTGTGAGACCTGCCACTGGGCTCAAGAGTTTTCCCACACTTAGCGAGAGAGTAATATGTCACGTTGCCTCGGCTAGAAAGATGAGTCATTGTTTTTACTGGATGTCCTTAGACGACTCACACTACAATCATTAACTGTGATGATGGACACAGAGGCGGCCTGGAATCAGTAGCCAATGTGTGTTCACAATTTACCCGGCGATGGTGGATGCGTTTGAACATTATCTTTGTCCGTCCAGCGTATAGAATCTCTTTCAACGCCTTCATCTCTAAATCTTGATTTTCACCTTTAACTGGAACGCTACACTTCTGGTAGTTTGCTTGTCGAGAAACGGCCAAATTGAGAGAACAAATATTAAGATGTTACCTGCTGTTGATTGTAACAGAAACACTTCTGCTGGTGTCTCACACACACACACTTGTCGGGGCACGCACTTCAATACGAATCCCATTTTCCCGTCGTCTACTTTCAGACAGCGTGTGGAGACATTACTCAATTATGCTGAAATGATGCGATCAGAGTCCAGTGTTCTTGAACTGTGAGGGAGGTGTTCCATAAATAAACAGCATTAACAGGAGTGAGAGGGAGCAGTTGGATTAAAGCGCAGAGGAGCGAAGTAATGTGATTGTATGTAATTAAGAAAGCAGCTGAATCAGTCAACCTAACTGAATCACAAAAGGAGACGACGGTGTAGGTCAGCACTTTTATTTTTATTGTTGTATACATACAGGGTATTTTGTTTTCATTGAATGAATGCCATTGAATAAATAATCGCAATGTGCAAAATATATTTTCCTACGGAATAAAGGAACATTTTTTTACAGAATCCTTATTACCATGGAGGATTGTCATCACATGCTTTGGAACAACAGCGTCGTACATTTCATTTGGGATAGTGCAAAAGAGTCCAGCGTGCTACAGCAAGTCCAGCAAGAACAGAGGAGTTTTTCAGAGAATAAGAGAGGAACATTTGGATCATTCATTTAAAAAAATAAAAATAAAAAATCTTTAGTAAAACCACCTTGAATATTAAATACGTGCAGCATCTTGATTCAGTTTACGAAATAATAAAAAAAGGGAAGATCTAGAGGCTGTTACAGATGGTCAACAGAAGGGCTGTGGGCTGACAGCTGTTGAATTTAAAAGTGTCATCTTGGGTTAGGGTGTTACATCTGTGAGTCGATGATATTATACAGCTTCACATTGGAGCGATGAGGAGGAGGAGACAGTGAGGAGCGGGGACGATGGCGACATCTACTGGCCGTTTGGCAGAGCTGCATTCATAAATACACAGCAAACGTTTCAAGAGGTTAAATTAGGACCATGCTGTTGGTGACACTTATAGGAAAGACATCCACTGGGTGGGAGTCCGACTCGTACACGTACAGTGCAGGTGATGCACGAATAAAGGACAGAAACATACATGGTACATTCAAATGTAACAAGCATGGATCACTGGACTGGATAGACATGTCAACAAAACAGAGTGTATAATCAGATTACACAATAAACAAGCACAGCTATCTCCCCAGTGCAGCCATGCTGAATTACGAGTGGGTAATCCTTAAATACACACAATTCAAAACGATTACCCGCTCTACCGCTTCATTGATATTGGGACCACAAGGCGCTTGAACAAAGTCTTATCTCACATTCTCAAATAGAGCCGTCAATTTAAAAAAGAAATGACAATCAGAACTGTGGCATCAAGTCGTGTGTATGAGGGAAAACAAATAGAAGAATGGTTGAGGTATTATTAAGAAGTGACTTGTTTAGTTAAGATCTGGGAATGTTCCTCTTCAATTTAATTAAGGCATACTGAATGAGAGGGAGACTCCCTGGAGAGTGAGAGGACATTTAAAATCAGCATGCTCCTCTCGCTGAAGTCATTATTCAGCTTCAGTTGAGCTGCTACGCTACGAAAGAGCCTTCTGGTGGAGGAAGGATTGTGTCCTCCTCTACAGAACATCAATAAACTGTTCTGTGTGGCCAGTGTTGGTGATGATTAACAGAGGGCCAGTCTGTAAAACAACATCGCACTTCTTGTCGACTTAGCTCAAGAAACCAGAATTAAATTACACATAGATCATTTTTCATAAATAGGACACTTGGGATTTCACCTATGGAGTAATCTGTTTAACTCCAAAAGTGCATAGAGAGGCAACAAAGGCACTGCCTTTTTCAATTCGGATCACAGTCCCCATTCTTCAAGTCAGGGTCATGGTCAATGTCTTGCGCCTGGCTGGTGAAGGAGCGGGCTTTACCCAGCTGGTAGTGCTCCCTAACGGGCTCATCCACCTGCATGTATGGCCCCTCCTCCTCCTCCTCCTCCTTCTGCACTCCGTTCTTCCTGTCGAACTCCACGGTGATCTCGGCCAGCGTCTTGCCCTTCGTCTCCGGCAGGGTGAGCCCCAGGAACACGGCGGACACCAGACACACGGCCAGGAACGGCAGGAAGCAGAAGCTCCCCAGGTACTTGACGATGAAGGGGAACAGCATCCCCACCAGGAACAGGCTGATCCACATGCACGAGCCGGCCACCATGTACGCCGCCGGCCGGGCCGTCTGGTCGAAGATCTCCGCCGGCAAGATCCCCGTCACCCCGGCGGGGCCCAAACCGAAGCTGAGGATGTAGGCGAACACGCACGCCATGCTGACATAGGCCATCCCGGCCACCCCGCGGCTCTGGAGGATGAGAGCCACGGTGAAGACCATGGACCAGCAAGACATCAGGCCGTACCCTCCCATGAGAAGGTACCTGCGGCCCACCCGCTCGATCAGCAGGTTACTCAGTATCGAAGCGGTCAGCTCGGACGCCCCAGTGCCGATAGTGATGTATTGGATTTTCTCTGGAGGGATCCCTGCCGCGAGGAAGATGTAGTAAGCGTAGAAGTAGATGGAGTCGTTGCCACAGAGCATCATGGCACTGCTGGCAGCCATGACGGTTCTGAGCTGGGATCGCAGGTCAGGATCCTTGAACAGAGAGCAGGGCGTCTTGGCAGAGGCCGCGGATCCAGACTTTGATTTTTGCTGCTCCTGCAGCATCTCCTCCATCTCCAAGGCGGGGGCCTCGCCGCCGCGAAGCCTTGCGAGGGCCCGGACACACGCCTCCCTGTCTCCCCGGTCGATGAGAAGGTACCTGGGGCTTTCGGGGAACCAGGGCAAGGTGAGCAGCTGGATCAACCCCGGCAACGCGTTGCTCGCTAGCAGGTAGGGCCAAAGAGGCTCGGCGCCCAGGAGCCCGGTGAGTCCCACAACCTGACCCAGGAAGATCCCGAACGCGGTGAACACGGCGGAGGAAAAAGCCACGGCACCCCGCTGGTGTGTGGGGGCGCTCTCCCCGAAGTACATCGGCTGGACGTTCATGCTGACCCCCGAGTTCACCCCGACCAGGAAGCGAGCCACGAGGATCATCTCAAACGACCTCGCCGCCCTGGACGTCAGCACCAGCACGGCGCCAACGAACAGGAATGAATTGTTGAGAAGCAGCGAGTTCTTCCTGCCGAAGCGGACCGACAGGGGCCCCGCCAGCAGGGCCCCGAGCCAGCCGCCCAGCGAGAAGGCCGACACGATGAGGGTCCACACCAGGGTCACCTGAGGGGTCTCCAGAACGGTGCCCCAGCGCTCCGCGTATGTCTCGTTGATGAAACTCTGGATGTAGTTGGTGGGAGCGTTGATGATTGAGATGTTGTAGCCATACTGGAAGGTGCCTCCGATGGCGGCGGAGCAGACGGTCAAAGCGAGGGTTCTGGTTAATCCAGAGGGTTTGCGGGTTTCCTCCGGCTCGCCGGAGAGTTTGCGGGTTTCGCACGAGTTCATCTGAAGACTCGCTGTCCCGGAGGAGACGGAAACGCGCGTGCCCTTTTCTCTCCGTGTCCTTGCGGCATTTAAGCACTGCAGTTAGCTCTTACTAGATTCAACTTAGCGTATTAGATACCTTTCTTGCTTAACAATTTACGGGATGTAGAAGGTGTCTTGGTTGTTCTGTTAATAATCTAATGTTATTGCTGCAGTGCGGTTAGAAGCGTTGATAGAGGAACTCACATTGTCCTGTAAAAGCCGGTTGAGCTGTATGCATTTCCACACCTCAAATGACCTGTCAGGCAATAACCTGCCAACCGCCCCAGCAACAGCCAAGCACACTGCGACACCTAACCGAAGAAAAAGTTCGAACGGTAACATTATAGTTGTGTTACCGCGATCACTGTTGCCTTAAAGTGTTAAATAGAGATAACAAGGTCGACACAATTTGCCGAAATGGGACACATTACCCTGTCAGACCGTATTGAGGGCATAACTACCCAGCGTATCGCGGTATCTGCGTGTTCACGGACTGTGTTTTGATTGGTTTACATTGGCCTTAGCTTCCCACGTCATCTCTATGCGACTATTACTAACGCGAGTGGCGGGTAGGCAAAAATATGTGAGTAAACGCAACTAGTTCACGATGCTTCCTTGTAAAAAATGGCATGCATGGCTAATAAATAGCAACGCAATAATATCGACAAGTCGTACGAAGTAAAATGTGTGTTTTTAACATGTGTGTTTGAATAGCAGCGCCATATAATTAGACAACATTAGCTCACTAGCTAATGCTAATGTGGGCAAGTGTTTGGTGAGCTTACGTTAATCGCAGATAAAACGTAACGTTATTTTTCCGCTCCGAGTGGATTAATTGTAATCAAGTAGCGTTTGTCTTTAGAGGAACCACAAGAAGAAAATTCACAGCTGTATTTTAGAAATGAGTTATGCCACTACTGTGATGCACTTACGTTTCATCTCTCTTATGCATTTATTCATGGGACATGGCATGAGTGAAATGAGCGGTCAAATATTGAGCTGAATTAACTCAAACTGCGGGTTGCACCGAGTGTAATGACATTTTTAATTTTATTTAGCAGTTTAAAGCTGCAATGGACACTGACATTAATAACCGGGACTTAAATACCGTACATTTCCTCTGCAACGTCCTCCGACATATCTTTTCTTTCTTTTTTAGACTAGATCCCACGTTGTATGAGCAAGCACACATGTAAACATTCTGAGATTGAATTTCCCAATGTTTCAAAGTGCAGATGCTTTTGCGGTATTACTGTTGCACACGGAGACCTATGCACTGAAATATGAGATGATAAGATAACGTACCAATAAAACCACCAGATACAACACAACAGTTTCACATGTTGTCAGACGTCCTGTCTCCTGCCAAAGCATTCATTCCTGACTTTTTTTTGTTTTGCTTTCTTCTCCTCCAACAGGGCGCCATCCCCAACCAAGAGGAAGGAGGACGACAAGAGTAAGCAGCGAGGGAAGGACAAGTCAGGAGCCCCGAAAGAAGGAGCCGACAAAGACCGGGGCCGAGACAAGACCCGCACACGGCGCGGTGCTTCCAGTGGGAGCAGCAGGTCAGAGCTTAAACAGCTCAAGTTATAATAAGTCATAAATTGTTTCAGCCGTCCTAACCTAAAATCTGCTCTTGCTAACCTCCAGCTCCAGCAGCAGCTCAGGCTCCAGCTCAGGCTCCTCCAGTGGCTCCAGCTCGTCAGCCTCCAGCCACTCTGGCTCATCCAGCTCCCGCTCCTCTTCCTCCTCCTCGTCCTCCTCACCGAGCCCCAGCCGCCAGCGCCACAACAACAGGCGGCGCTCCCGCTCAAAGTAAGGAATAAGTCATAATCAATTTGTGAATCTTGTAATTTTTTTTATGTATAACTGATGACTGCATGAATCTCTCACACTGCAGTCAGGGAACACTAATGTTATGTCATTAATGACTACAGTAGTAGCTGAAATATAAATGTCCCTCTAGGTCAAAATCAGCGAAGAAGGATGACAGGGACCGGCGGCGCAGGAGCCCCATACCCAAATCCACCAAGGTCTACCTCGGCCGGCTGACCAGAAACGTCATCAAGGTGAAATCTTTGAGACCTTTTTGAAGTCTTCCCGTGATCCATGTCGACTGTGTTTTTGCATCAGGGCAAAAGGCAACAACAAAGCCCCGAATAAATGTCTCGTGTTAGGAAACTGTTTTTCCTCACGCATAATTAAAAAAAATCAAGGTCACTTTTTGAATAATTAGCTCCATGAGCTTGCAGTGACTTCACTTCCTCATTAACTTTTTAAGCTTGCAGGAGCTGAGCATTAAGTTAGTGGTATGTAAGGGAGCCAACAGGGAAACAATTAGTGACGGAGTATAAGAGTAGGCAGATGGACTCCATTGTGTGAGGTCTACAGGCTCCATCACCTTGTTTGTACATGAGCATTGTACGTGCCTTTTTTTTCTGCAGGAACACATCCAGGAGATCTTCTCCACGTACGGCAAGATCAAGATGATCGACATGCCCATGAACCGCGTCCACGCCCACCTGTCCAAAGGCTACGCCTACGTGGAGTTCGAGACCTCTGATGAGGCGGAGAAGGCCCTGAAACACATGGACGGAGGTAGGAGGACGTAGAGGGGCCACAGCCTGACTGGTTGTGTAATGCTATGTAGATGAGACTCTTTTCTCAATGTCTCAAAATAATGTTTCTCTTCCAGGCCAGATCGACGGTCAGGAGATCACAGTCACAGCTGTGCTGACTCCCACGGTGCGCCCTGCCCCCCGCAGGCTGTCACCCCCCCGCAGGATGCCCCCGCCGCCGCCAATGTGGCGACGCACGCCCCCTCGTATGAGGAGGAGGTGAGTGCCATGTGATGCAGCAGCAGCGCTTGGTTATGGAAGCAAATGACGCAGATTAACCCTTAACTGTCGCTGTGTTTTGTAACATGCTACGCTTACTGCTGTTTGACATTCAAACTATAATATTTGTCAAATGTGTGTTTTTATTTTTTCTTTCCGATCATTCTCTGTATTTCACCGTCACTCTGCCTGTCTTCTCTCTCTATCTCTCTGTCACTGTCTCTCTCTCTCTCTGTCACTGTCTCTCTCTCT